CGAAATGTAAGCATTTTCTGTTTCACAAATGCTTAAAAGAACTAGGAAAGGTATAGCTAAAACTTTAATGCCTTTAAATACTAACATTATAAGAATATTTGCTATAAACTACAGCTAATTTCTTTAAGTTAACTTAACTAACTGATTCTATTAACGATTTATTTCAATTTATATATTACAAATAAATGATTTCATATATATTTATTTAAAATGCGTAAATTTTTTTGTGGTTGATTTAACGGTCGCATTTATTTCAGTTATAGCTAAAGGAAGATTAAATTTGGAATCATATTCTATAAGGTTTACGTAACTAGACTTACACAGAATTTAACAGTTTATTCATATTTATATGAATGAATATAACCTGTTCTGAGATAAATTTTGTTAGATTTTTGTTCTTAAAAATTTTAAAAGGTTTTACGCTTTTCTTCTTTTCGATATCATTATGTGTAGTGGGCTTTAGGGTTGTTGATATAACATCAATATTATTATCATTTACACTTTCAGAAATTTTTCTAGCCTGTTCAGAGATAATATTTGTTAGACTTTTATTCTTAAAAATCTTGAAATATAAATGATTTCATATATATTTATTAAAATGCGTAAATTTTTTTGTGGTTGATTTAACGGTCGCATTTATTTCAGTTATAGCTAAAGGAAGATTAAATTTGGAATCATATTCTATAAGGTTTACGTAACTAGACTTACACAGAATTTAACAGTTTATTCATATTTATATGTAGGACTATTTTTACTGTTTCTGTAAATCAATATTAATTAAGAATTCTGTATAATTTGCGCTATATTAGACAAGACCACATAAAACGCCCTCTTTCGAAAATATCTTTAAAGCTTGTACATCTCATATTAATATTGATATTGCAACAAAATTGGTAAACATATGTTTACATACTTTTAAAATCGATGTCTTCTGATTTGGATGAAAATTTGCACCAGGGTTAGTTTATGGGATAGTAGGCCAAACAGAAATTCAGCTTTATCGGTCAAGAACTGTCGGACTTAGAGGGAATAGCTATCCGAACTCCTTTGGCAATTTTTGCTAGGACCAGTAGGTGAAAAGTTACACTCATTTGAATCAAACCCTGTATGACCAAAATGTCTAACTTTGACCCCCTCTAAATCCCCCCCCCCCCTAAGTAAGTTCATGACCGATAGAGCTGAAAATTTAGGTCTGACCTACTATTGGTCAAATTTCGTGATTTTTTGAGTTGGGTCACTTGACATGAAATTGCAATTGCAATTGAAATGTAAATAAGTCCATGAGAACTTGAATTACTTTGAAAAAATTTTGATTGTAGAATCAAGAACCAATATTTGTTTCGAAATTTAAATCTTTTAGATATAGTTCTATATAAAAATTTATAATAAATAAGTCAGCGAAACTTAGAACCAGAATTTCTACATAACATCATTAAGAACTATTTACTAGTCTATATACTAATCCATAGGCTAGACTAGATCAAATACTAGTAAATAGATTAGTTCATAGACTAGTCTGCAGATTAGTTCATAGACTGGTAAATAAACTAGTCCATATAATGATCAATAGTGTAATCCATAGACTAATCCATATAGTAGTTTAGAGACTAATCCATTAGTTAGTACATATACTAGTCAATGGAATAGTCCATATACTAGCCCATATATTGGTCAATAGTGTAATCCATATTCTAGCCTATATACTAGTCATATTCTAGCCCATGTACCAGTCAAAAGTTTAGTTCATAGACTAGTCAATAAACCACATAGTCCATCTGACTATTCAATAGAAAGTTCAGTTACTATTCAAAGATTTGTTCACCGACTATTTATGAGATTAGCACATATACTGGTCAATAAACTAGACCGCGGACTTGCATTAGACTAGTTCTCATAATTATTAGTCTATTTGCTGGTCAACAAACTAGATTCATATTCTAGTCCATATACAGGTCAATTCATTGTACCATAATCTGGTCAATAGATAGTGTGATTCATAGACTAGTCCATATAGTGGTTTAGAGACTAATCCATTAGATAGTACATGTACTAGTCAATGGGATAGTCCATATACTAGCCCATAGATTGGCCAATAGTGTAATCCATAGTCCATCTGACTATTCAATAGAAAGTTCTGTTACTATTCAAAAGATTTGTTCATGGACTATGTAATCTATAGACAGTAAATATAGTAGTTTAGAGACTAATCGATTAGCTAGTACATATACTAGTCAATGGAATAGTCCATATACTAGCCCATACATTGGTCAATAGTGTAATCCATATTCTAAAGTGTAATCCATAGTCAAAAGTTTAGTTCATAGACTTATCAATAGCCCACATAGTCCATCTGACTATTCAATAGAAAAGTTCAGTTACTATTTAAAAGATTTGTTCATCGACTATTTAAGAGAGTAGCACATAGACTGGTTAATAAACTAGACCACGGACTTGTCAGTAGACTAGTTCTCATACTTATTAGTCTATTGGCTGGTTAACATACTAGATTAATATTCTAGTCCATATACAGGTCAATAGATTGTACCATAATCTGATCAATAGATTAATCTATATACAAGGCCATATAAATACTGTAGTTCTATACTGATCATAAGACTAGTCCATAGACCAGTCAATTGATGTGTATAAAAACTGCTCAGTAAATTTGTCCATGGATTATACGAATACTAGTTTATAGAATGGTCAGTGGACTAGTTCCTTAACTGGTCAATTGTCTTATTTATAGACTGGTCAGTAGAATAGCCTATAGACATCTTAATAGACTAGTATAAACTGGTCATTACAATAGACTAGAGCATAGACTGGTCAATAGACTAGACCATAGACAGTTCGATAGACCAGTCCATAAACTAGTTCATATACTAGTCCCTAGACTGGTCAATTATAGTATATAGAGTAGTAAAAAGTAATTTATATATCCTTCACCCTAGTGTGTTTAGAAAAGTCTAATTTATAACATTTTTTATTTATTTTTTTTTTTTCCCGACTCTACCAATTCTTTGCCAATAAGAAAACAATAAAACAACAACAACTTACGCCCAAACGAAACAAAACATCTGGGGTCTTCAGAATTTGATTTAAACAGACAGACGGATATGGCTTAGTAGACTCCGCTATCTATAAGGATCCAGATATGTGAAGGGTATAAACAAGTTCTAGTATTATTTAAAGATTTTTATTTTCCATGACTGATAGAGTCTATACAAAAGTATTGAACCCATAAAATGTTTAATGAATCTATGCTAACTTTGAACCTAAAGGACTTTAGTTGAAATTTATTTCTCTTAACTTTTTATTCTAAAAATATTTTAGTGTATTTCATTATTGTAAAACAGTATTTATCATTTTGCCAAGTGTACTTAAGTAATATGATATATAATCAGTTGAGGGTGTACTGGCGACAAGATTCAAGGAATTTTTATGATGGCAAATAGAATGGGTCATTTGTGGACTCGAATATCCGTTGGTAATTAAGTGATTATTTTACTATAGGAATTAGCAAAATGCTGAGAATTTTGCATAGTATTTAAATGCTTTTGATTTTCAGTTAGAGTTGACTCGTAATAATGATGATGATGAACATGATTTCCATCTAAAATAAATTTATAAATATTCCGAAAAATACATATAAAAATAAATAATACTTACAATTTTGAATATTATATGTAGAATGGGGATTATTTATAGGGTTCCTTAACTCTTGCGGTGGTTTTTTGTTTAAAGTTTTTATAATGTAATGTCGGGTTTGAGGTTCGTTTTTTGAGTTTGAAGGCTTAATAACAGTGGCAATCCATCCAGTTGAATTTTTGTAATTTTTATATGTTTTGGTAAAGTATCAATTCTTTTACTTTTAAATCCTTCAGTGGTTGATCTCATTGTTGTGGGAGTAGTACGTGGCGTTCTGGTTGTAGTTACAAAAGGTTTCGAGTAGTTCTTGTAGATGATAGCGGTTTTCTTGTTGTCCTGGTGTTTATTACTAACCTAGTTTTTGGTGTTTGAAGGCTTAACACAGTGAGAACCCACCCAGTTGAATTGTTTGTAATTTTATATGTTTGGGTAAGTATCAGTTCTTTACTTTTAAATCTTTCAGTGGTTGATCTCATTGTTGCGGGAGTAGTACGTGGCGTTGTGGTTGTAGTCACAAAAGGTTTTCGAGTAGTTCTTGTAGATGATAGCGGTTTTCTTGTTGTCCTGGTGTTTATTATTATCCTAGTTCTTGGCATGGTTCCTGTTTCTGAAACATTTGTGCTTATTGTTTGCTGTTTAGGACAATTATTTCCAAAACCGTTCCTACAATATTTTATACACTAAGAATAAAAAATGCATCAATATACTGATAAAGCAAATTATTTTTATAAATATCTTACTCTTTTGCAACGACAATTGCTCCTTTTAAGTCGCACAATTTTAGAATTATTATTTTTTGCAAAAATATTAAAGCCGATGGGATGATCAATGATCATTACTTGATCTTTGGAGAAATCACTTTAGACGAAGCTACTGCCTGTTAGAAAATTTACAAAAATGTCTTTACTTTTAAAAAATGGTTACGAATTATAGTACCTACTTGAGATGACGATTGGGGTAATATATCACCCAAACTTTTGTCACAATTTGTAGTAAAATGATCAACAGGAGTGGTAACGTTTTAATTTCTTTAAATGTCATGATGATACTACTTCCTTTGATTTAACTTTAGCAACTGTTTTCCATTTCGGTTTTGTTATAAATTATATAGTAATATTTCCTGAGCGGCCTATATGTATATGCATGTGTGTGTGTTTATGTGTATTATTAGTATATAATTGTAAAGTATGTGGTTACTTAACGGTCTTAATATTTCCAAAGAATTTTAAATATGGAACACAGTTCACAAGAGTTGTTCATCCTTTTCTTTGTTTATTCATTTTAAAAGCTAAGTACATATTATTTTTAATTTTAACGACTAGCATAGTTGTAGTACGATGGCTGTTTATTCCGAAATTGAGGGACCACAGGATTGTAATAATTTTCGATAATTATAGTTTGATGTTTGGAACATGCTCGTAAACATTATTCTTAAAGAATAACAATGTATCCAATAATATGTCCTACTTTTCTTTGTCTTATATGAAACTTATTTATGTCGGATTTCATCGCTATAGTTGTATTTTTAAAACAGTAATACCAGTTAAAGCTGTTTTTCGGGGGTCCACTTGTATGGGGGCTATCCGAACAAGTGGACCGATATTGCCCATTCATGCAAAATTTCAACTCTCTACCTCTCTCCGTTCGGCCTCTATCGTGCTTTCAACAGACAGACATGGCTAGATAGTATTAGAATTTAATAACGAACCAGAATATACATATATTTTTGTGGGTCTATGACCAATATTTCGATGTGTTACAAACGGAATGACAAAATCAATATACGACCATCATTTTGATGGTGGGTATAATAATAATAATTAGATCTATATTGAGATTTAATAAATAAGAAAATTGTTTTGATAATAACTAAAGCAACGATTTATAAATATCAAAGTTTATTTATAAGGAAGTATTAATTTTACGCCAAATGTGGGTATATAAGATTCGGCATAGCCGAACGCTCTTAATTGTTCATTGTTTGTTTGTTTGAAGGCTTAAGGGCCCTGCAGACGATCACACATTATGTAAAAAAATGTATATTCTAACCCCCATCATCTCAATGTCTGGTTATATTTTATTATAAGGATAAATTGACAGTTTTCATACAAAAATTATTTTAACCGGTCGAATACCTAAGATTACCGAAGTTGGCGTCAACGGGCCTAAGAATATAAATTCAACAATTTCCTGATAAAACAAAATTATTTTTATAAATATCTTACTCTTTTGCTACGACAACTGCTCCTTTTAAGACGTACGGTTTTAGAATTATTACTCTCTGCAAAAATATTAAAGCCTACTAGATGATCAATGATCATTACTTGATCTTTGGGACAAATCGCTTTAGATAAAAATGTTACCTGTTAGAAAATTACAAAAAGGTGTTAATACTTATAGACTAGACTATAGACTAGACTATAGACTAGACTATAGACTAGACTATAGACTAGACTATAGACTAGACTATAGACTAGACTATAGACTAGACTATAGACTAGACTATAGACTAGACTATAGACTAGACTATAGACTAGACTATAGACTAGACTATAGACTAGACTATAGACTAGACTATAGACTAGACTATAGACTAGACTATAGACTAGACTATAGACTAGACTATAGACTAGACTATAGACTAGACTATAGACTAGACTAGACTATAGACTAGACTAGACTATAGACTAGACTATAGACTAGACTATAGACTAGACTATAGACTAGACTATAGACTAGACTATAGACTAGACTATAGACTAGACTATAGACTAGACTATAGACTAGACTATAGACTAGACTATAGACTAGACTATAGACTAGACTATAGACTATATAGACTAGACTATAGACTAGACTATAGACTAGACTATAGACTAACTAGACTAGACTATAGACTACTATAGACTAGACTATAGACTAGACTAGACTAGACTATAGACTACTATAGACTAGACTATAGACTAGACTATAGACTAGACTATAGACTAGACTATAGACTAGACTATAGACTAGACTATAGACTAGACTATAGACTAGATTATAGACTAGTCTACTATAGACTAGACTATAGACTAGACTATGACTAGACTATAACTAGACTATAGACTAGACTATAGACTAGACTATAGACTAGACTAGACTAACTATAGACTAGACTATAGACTAGACTATAGACTAGACTATAGACTAGACTATAACTAGACTATAGACTATAGACTAGACTATAGACTGAGACTATACACTAGACTATAGACTAGACTATAGACTAGACTATAGACTAGATTAGACTAGTGAATCTTTTTAAAGAGTCTGCTATTTAGTAGTCTAGTCTATAGTCTAAAGCCTAGTCTATAGTCTAAAGTCTATTCTATAGTCTAGTCTATAGTCTAGTCTATAGTCTAGTCTATAGTCTAGTATAGTCTAGTCTATAGTCTAGTCTATAGTCGTCTATAGTCTAGTCTATAGTCTAGTCTAGTCTAGTCTAGAGTCTAGTCTATAGTCTAGTCTATAGTCTAGTCTAGTCTAGTCTATAGTCTAGTCTATAGTCTAGTCTAGACTAGTCTATAGTCTAGTCTAGTCTAGCTATAGTCTAGTCTAGTCTATAGACTAGACTATATACTAGACTATAGACTAGACTATAGACTAGACTATAGACTAGACTATAGACTAGACTATAGACTAGACTATAGACTAGACTATAGACTAGACTATAGAATAGACTTTAGACTATAGACTAGGCTTTAGACTATAGACTAGACTACTAAAATAGCAGACTCTTTAAAAAGATTCACTAGTCTATAATCTAGTCTATAGTCTAGTCTATAGTCTAGTCTTAGTCGTGTATAGTCTAGTCTATAGTCTAGTCTAGAGTCTATAGTCTAGTCTATAGTCTAGTCTATAGTCTAGTCTATAGTCTCTATAGTCTAGTCTATAGCTAGTCTATAGTCATATCTAGTCTATCTAGTCTATAGTCTATCTATAGTCTAGTCTATAGTCTAGTCTAGAGTCTAGTCTATAGTCTAGACTAGTCTATAATCTAGTCTATAGTCTAGTCTATAGTCTAGTCTAGTCTAGTCTATAGTCTAGTCTATAGTCTAGTCTATAGTCTAGTCTATAGTCTATGTCTAGTCTATAGTCTAGTCTATAGTCTAGTCTATAGTCTAGTCTATAGTCTAGTCTATAGTCTAGTCTATAGTCTAGTCTATAGTCTAGTCTATAGTCTAGTCTATAGTCTAGTCTATAGTCTAGTCTATAGTCTAGTCTATAGTCTAGTCTAGTCTAGTCTATAGTCTAGTCTATAGTCTAGTCTATAGTCTAGTCTATAGTCTAGTCTATAGTCTAGTCTATAGTCTAGTCTAGTCTAGTCATAGTCTAGTCTAGTCTAGTCTATAGTCTAGTCTATAGTCTAGTCTATAGTCTAGTCTAGTCTAGAGTCTAGTCTAGTCTAGTCTAGTAGTCTATAGTCTAGTCTATAGTCTAGTCTATAGTCTAGTCTATAGTCTAGTCTATAGTCTAGTCTATAGTCTAGTCTATAGTCTAGTCTATAGTCTAGTCTATAGTCTAGTCTATAGTCTAGTCTATAGTCTAGTCTATAGTCTAGTCTATCGTCTAGTCTATAGTCTAGTCTATAGTCTAGTCTATAGTCTATCTATAGTCTAGTCTATAGTCTAGTCTATGTCTCTATAGTATTAACACCTTTTTGTAATTTTCTAACAGGTAACATTTTTATCTAAGCGATTTGTCCCAAAGATCAAGTAATGATCATTGATCATCTAGTAGGCTTTAATATTTTTGCAGAGAGTAATAATTCTAAAACCGTACGTCTTAAAAGGAGCAGTTGTCGTAGCAAAAGAGTAAGATATTTATAAAAATAATTTTGTTTTATCAGGAAATTGTTGAATTTATATTCTTAGGCCCGTTGACGCCAACTTCGGTAATCTTAGGTATTCGACCGGTTAAAATAATTTTTGTATGAAAACTGTCAATTTATCCTTATAATAAAATAACCAGACATTGAGATGATGGGGTTAGAATATACATTTTTTTACATAATGTGTGATCGTCTGCAGGGCCCTTAAGCCTTCAAACAAAACAAACAATGAACAATTAAGAGCGTTCGGCTATGCCGAATCTTATATACCCACATTTGGCGTAAAATTAATACTTCCTTATAAATAAACTTTGATATTTATAAATCGTTGCTTTAGTTATTATCAAAACAATTTTCTTATTTATTAAATCTCAATATAGATCTAATAATATTATTATTATACCCACCATCAAAATGATGGTCGTATATTGATTTTGTCATTCCGTTTGTAACACATCGAAATATTGGTCATAGACCCCAAAAATATATATGTATATTCTGGTTCGTTATTAAATTCTAATACTATCTAGCCATGTCTGTCTGTTGAAAGCACGATAGAGGCCGAACGGAGAGAGGTAGAGAGTTGAAATTTTGCATGAATGGGCAATATCGGTCCACTTGTTCGGATAGCCCCCATACAAGTGGACCCCCGAAAAACAGCTTTAACTGGTATTACTGTTTTAAAATACAACTATAGCGATGAAATCCGACATAAATAAGTTTCATATAAGACAAAGAAAAGTAGGACATATTATTGGATACATTGTTATTCTTTAAGAATAATGTTTACGAGCATGTTCCAAACATCAAACTATAATTATCGAAAATTATTACAATCCTGTGGTCCCTCAATTTCGGAATAAACAGCCATCGTACTACAACTATGCTAGTCGTTAAAATTAAAAATAATATGTACTTAGCTTTTAAAATGAATAAACAAAGAAAAGGATGAACAACTCTTGTGAACTGTGTTCCATATTTAAAATTCTTTGGAAATATTAAGACCGTTAAGTAACCACATACTTTACAATTATATCTAATAATACACATAACACACACACATGCATACATATAGGCCGCTCAGGAAATTTACTATATAATTTATAACAAAACCGAAATGGAAAACAGTTGCTAAAGTTAAATCAAAGGAAGTATCATCATGACATTTAAAGAAATTAAAACGTTACCACTCCTGTTGATCATTTTACTACAAATTTGTGACAAAAGTTTGGGTGATATATTACCCCAATCGTCATCTCAAGTAGGTACTATAATTCGTAAACCATTTTTTAAAAGTAAAGACATTTTTGTAAATTTTCTAACAGGCAGTAGCTTCGTCTAAAGTGATTTCTCCCAAAGATCAAGTAATGATCATTGATCATCCCATCGGCTTTAATATTTTTGCAAAAAATAATAATTCTAAAATTGTGCGACTTAAAAGGAGCAATTGTCGTTGCAAAAGAGTAAGATATTTATAAAAATAATTTGCTTTATCAGTATATTGATGCATTTTTTATTCTTAGTGTATAAAATATTGTAGGAACGGTTTTGGAAATAATTGTCCTAAACAGCAAACAATAAGCACAAATGTTTCAGAAACAGGAACCATGCCAAGAACTAGGATAATAATAAACACCAGGACAACAAGAAAACCGCTATCATCTACAAGAACTACTCGAAAACCTTTTGTGACTACAACCACAACGCCACGTACTACTCCCGCAACAATGAGATCAACCACTGAAAGATTTAAAAGTAAAAGAACTGATACTTTACCCAAACATATAAAAATTACAAACAATTCAACTGGGTGGGTTCTCACTGTTGTTAAGCCTTCAAACAAAAACTAGGTTAGTAATAAACACCAGGACACAAGAAAACCGCTATCATCTACAAGAACTACTCGAAAACCTTTTGTAACTACAACCAGAACGCCACGTACTACTCCCACAACAATGAGATCAACCACTGAAGGATTTAAAAGTAAAAGAATTGATACTTTACCAAAACATATAAAAATTACAAAAAATTCAACTGGATGGATTGCCACTGTTATTAAGCCTTCAAACTCAAAAAACGAACCTCAAACCCGACATTACATTATAAAAACTTTAAACAAAAAACCACCGCAAGAGTTAAGGAACCCTATAAATAATCCCCATTCTACATATAATATTCAAAATTGTAAGTATTATTTATTTTTATATGTATTTTTCGGAATATTTATAAATTTATTTTAGATGGAAATCATGTTCATCATCATCATTATTACGAGTCAACTCTAACTGAAAATCAAAAGCATTTAAATACTATGCAAAATTCTCAGCATTTTGCTAATTCCTATAGTAAAAATAATCACTTAATTACCAACGGATATTCGAGTCCACAAATGACCCATTCTATTTGCCATCATAAAATTCCTTGAATCTTGTCGCCAGTACACCCTCACTGATTATATATCATATTACTTAAGTACACTTGGCAAAATGATAAATACTGTTTTTACAATAATGAAATACACTAAAATATTTTAGAATAAAAAGTTAAGAGAAATAAATTTCAACTAAAGGCCTTTAGGTTCAAAGTTAGCATAGATTCATTAAACATTTTATGGGTTCAATACTTTTGTATAGACTCTATCAGTCATGGAAAATAAAAATCTTTAATAATACTAGAACTTGTTTATCCCTTCACATATCTGGATCCTTATAGATAGCGGAGTCTACTAAGCCATATCCGTCTGTCTGTTTAAATCAAATTCTGAAGACCCCAGATGTTTTGTTTCGTTTGGCGTAAGTTGTTGTTGTTTTATTGTTTTCTTATTGGCAAAGAATTGGTAGAGTCGGGAAAAAAAAAAATAAATAAAAAATGTTATAAAATTAGACTTTTCTAAACACACTAGGGTGAAGGATATATAAATTACTTTTTACTACTCTATATACTATAATTGACCAGTCTAGGGACTAGTATATGAAACTAGTTTATGGACTGGTCTATCGAACTGTCTATGGTCTAGTCTATTGACCAGTCTATGCTCTAGTCTATTGTAATGACCAGTTTATACTAGTCTATTAAGATGTCTATAGGCTATTCTACTGACCAGTCTATAAATAAGACAATTGACCAGTTAAGGAACTAGTCCACTGACCATTCTATAAACTAGTATTTCGTATAATCCATGGACAAATTTACTGAGCAGTTTTTATACACATCAATTGACTGGTCTATGGACTAGTCTTATGATCAGTATAGAACTACAGTATTTATATGGCCTTGTATATAGATTAATCTATTGATCAGATTATGGTACAATCTATTGACCTGTATATGGACTAGAATATTAATCTAGTATGTTAACCAGCCAATAGACTAATAAGTATGAGAACTAGTCTACTGACAAGTCCGTGGTCTAGTTTATTAACCAGTCTATGTGCTAATCTCTTAATAGTCGATGAACAAATCTTTTAAATAGTAACTGAACTTTCTATTGAATAGTCAGATGGACTATGTGGGCTATTGATAAGTCTATGAACTAAACTTTTGACTATGGATTACACTTAGAATATGGATTACACTATTGACCAATGTAGGGCTAGTATATGGACTATTCCATTGGACTAGTATATGTACTAGCTAATCGATTAGTCTCTAAACTACTATATTTACTGTCTATAGATTACATAGTCCATGAACAAATCTTTTGAATAGTAACAGAAACTTTCTATTGAATAGTCAGATGGACTATGGATTACACTATTGGCCAATCTATGGGCTAGTATATGGACTATCCATTGACTAGTACATGTACTATCTAATGGATTAGTCTCTAAACCACTATATGGACTAGTCTATGAATCACACTATCTATTGACCAGATTATGGTACAATGAATTGACCTGTATATGGACTAGAATATGAATCTAGTTTGTTGACCAGCAAATAGACTAATAATTATGAGAACTAGTCTAATGCAAGTCCGCGGTCTAGTTTATTGACCAGTATATGTGCTAATCTCATAAATAGTCGGTGAACAAATCTTTTGAATAGTAACTGAACTTTCTATTGAATAGTCAGATGGACTATGTGGTTTATTGACTAGTCTATGAACTAAACTTTTGACTGGTACATGGGCTAGAATATGACTAGTATATAGGCTAGAATATGGATTACACTATTGACCAATATATGGGCTAGTATATGGACTATTCCATTGACTAGTATATGTACTAACTAATGGATTAGTCTCTAAACTACTATATGGATTAGTCTATGGATTACACTATTGATCCATTATATGGACTAGTTTATTTACCAGTCTATGAACTAATCTGCAGACTAGTCCTATGAAACTAATCTATTTACTAGTATTTGATCTAGTCTAGCCTATGGATTAGTATATAGACTAGTAAATAGTTCTTAAATGATGTTATGTAGAAATTCTGGTTCTAAGTTTCGCTGACTTATTTATTATAAATTTTATATAGAACTATATCTAAAAGATTAAATTTCGAAACAAATATTGGTTCTTGATTCTACAATCAAAATTTTTCAAAGTATTCAAGTTCTCATGGACCTTATTTACATTTCAATTGCAATTGCAATTTCATGTCAAGTGACCCAACTCAAAAAATCACGAAATTTGACCAATAGTAGGTCAGACCTAAATTTTCAGCTCTATCGGTCATGAACCTACTTAGGGGGGGGGGGGGATTTAGAGGGGGGTCAAAGTTAGACATTTTGGTCATACAGGGTTTGATTAAATGAGTGTAACTTTTCACCATACTGGTCCTAGCAAAAATTGCCAAAGGATTCGGATAGCTATTCCCTCTAAGTCCGACAGTTCTTGACCGATAAAGCTGAATTTCTGTTTGGCCTACTATCCCATAAAACTAACCCTGGTGCAAATTTTCATCCAAATCAGAAACATCGATTTTAAAAGTATGTAAACATATGTTTACAATTTTGTTGCAATATCAATATTAATATGAGATGTACAAGCTTTAAAGATATTTTCGAAAGAGGGCGTTTTGTGGTCTTGTCTAATATAGCGCAAATTATACAGAATTCTTAATTAATATTGATTTACAGAAACAGTAAAAATAGTCCTACATATAAATATGAATAAACTGTTAAATTCTGTGTAAGTCTAGTTACGTAAACCTTATAGAATATGATTCCAAATTTAATCTTCCTTTAGCTATAACTGAAATAAATGCGACCGTTAAATCAACCACAAAAAAATTTACGCATTTTAAATAATATATGAAATCATTTATATTTCAAGATTTTTAAGAATAAAAGTCTAACAAATATTATCTCTGAACAGGCTAGAAAAATTTCTGAAAGTGTAAATGATAATAATATGTTATCAACAACCCTAAAGCCCACTACACATAATGATATCGAAAAGAAGAAAAGCGTAAAACCTTTTAAAATTTTTAAGAACAAAATCTAACAAAATTTATCTCAGAACAGGTTATATTCATTCATATAAATATGAATAAACTGTTAAATTCTGTGTAAGTCTAGTTACGTAAACCTTATAGAATATGATTCCAAATTTAATCTTCCTTTAGCTATAACTGAAATAAATGCGACCGTTAAATCAACCACAAAAAATTTACGCATTTTAAATAATATATAAAATCATTATTTGTAATATATAAATTGAAATAAATCGTTAATAGAATCAGTTAGTTAAGTTAACTTAAAGAAATTAGCTGTAGTTTATAGCAAATATTCTTATAATGTTAGTATTTAAAGGCATTAAAGTTTTAGCTATACCTTTCCTAGTTCTTTTAAGCATTTGTGAAACAGAAATGCTTACATTTCGTCGCAAGTATGATTTTTTTATAGAAAAGTTTATATATGTAAATACATTATTTGTATGAAATTTAATTATTTATTTTAGGCTTATAATAGCCAAACAACTCATTTAAAAACCCATACGAATTTGGAAACTAAAATTTCAGCCGTAACCCAGTGCCATCATAGTTTTGCAGTGCAACCCTTTACAGATCACAATTTTCTATATAATAGTCATAATGGTAAGTCTATTTTATCAGATTTATTTATATACATATATACAAACATATATACTTATCTATATATTTTTAGGAGAACGTAAAATTGAACATCATAAATCTTTAAATCATAATATCGTACATATATATCTCAAACACACCAATCTCACAACTCTATTGGATATATAAAATCGAATTATAATGGAAAATCCTTTAAATCCCCACATAGCATTGCTAATTCTAAACATTTCAGTACTAACACGATTTCTTCAAAAGCACATACAAATATTTTACACTCGGCCTATAATAGTAATACTCACATGAAAACCCATACAAAACTGGAAACCGAAACTATATCAACAAAACTACTACATCATACATCTAGAAATGTATCGGTACATCCATTTCGTGATCAAAATTTCTATATAATACAAATCATTTAAAATTCATACGAATTTAGATACTAAAACCTTAGCCGTAACCAGATTCATAATTTTTACAGCGCATCGCTTTAAATCAAATGTTCTATATATATTCACATGGTAAGTATTTTATTTTAGAGCATTATCTATCTATCTATCTATCTATCTATCACTATCTATCTATCTATCTATCTATCTATCTATCTATCTATCTATCTATCTATCTATCTATCTATCTATCTATCTATCTATCTATCTATCTATCTATCATCTATCTATCTATCTATCTATCTATCTATCTATCTATCTATCTATCTATCTATCTATCTCTATCTATCTATCTATCTATCTATCTATCTATCTATCTACTATCTATCTATCTATCTATCTATCTATCTATCTATCTATCTATCTATCTATCCTATCTATCTATCTATCTATCTATCTATCTATCTACTATCTATCTATCTATCTATCTATCTATCTATCTCTATCTATCTATCTATCTATCTATCTATCTATCTATCTATCTATCTATCTACTATCTATCTATCTATCTATCTATCTATCTATCTATCTATCTATCTATCTATCTATCTATCTATCTATCTATCTATCTATCCTATCTATCTATCTATCATCTATCTATCTATCTATCTATCTATCTATCTATCTATCTATCTATCTATCTATCTATCTATCTATCTATCTATCTAATCTATCTATCTATCTATCTATCTATCTATCTATCTATCTATCTCTATCTATCTATCTATCTATCTATCTATCTATCTATCTATCTATCTATCTATCTATCTATCTATCTACTATCTACTATCTATCTATCTATCTATCTATCTATCTATCTATCTATCTATCTATCATCTATCTATCTATCTATCTATCTATATATCTATCTATCTATCTATCTATCTATCTATCTATCTATCTATCTATCTATCTATCTATCTACTA